AAAAAATAAACTATAAAAAAAAAAAAGAGAAGAGGATAGAGAAAGATAGCAAGTGAACAACAGAGGGGATGTTAGTGAGAAACAGATATGGTTTATTATCTGTTGAAGATGACGTGTATAGTATTCTCAACTGGACTGGTCTGGGAAGTATTTCATGATGGGTGAAGTCTTTTAACAAGCAAAATGAGAAATAGTGATTGACTGTTTTAAAAAATTATAATAATAATAATTATTGGGAAATGCATGGAAAAGACTTTGAATGATAAAGCGGGGAGATCGATGCCTCTGTATTGACTGACATGCATGGCATTCCCTTTTGAAAAAGCAATGGAAGTCAATGTAAAGTTATATGTAATCCAATGTAATATAAAGAAGATTATGATAATAAATTTATTAAATAGAAAATCGAAAAAATAAATAAATAAATAAATACACTTTGATTTTGTTGAACCATTTTAAAAAAAGAATTATTTAACTTTATTTATTCATTTATTTATTTATTTATTTCAGTTTGACCAGAGAGGGACAGAGCGAGAGAGAGAGAGTGAGAAAGCAAGCCGCCAGGTCCAGGACCTGAACTGCAATTGGCCATGTAGGAGTCCAGTGCCCTTAGCCACTACACCACCTGCCGGCCTCTGTTGAATCAACCATTTGTACAAGTAAATTGTACAAATAATTATTTAGCTCTCCTAAAATCTCCTGGGCAACCACAGTGCTGTCACACCTAACAAAATTAACTAACACTGATATTTCTTAACTCTTACCCAGCACCTAGTAGATATTCCAATTCTCCCAGTTTTCCCCACAAAAAAGGCCCTTTATGACTAACTGTTTTTATTAGACCAGAATCCAGTTTAGAACTCCACATTACATTTGGTTGTATCTCGTGTGTGTGTGTGTGTGTGTGTGTGTGTGTCCTCTTTCTTTTAATCTAGAAAAATTTTGTCCACCACCACCAGCCTCTAATTTATATTTTCGTGACATTGACTGATTGTGGAAACTGGACCAGTATAGCAGAATGTCCCACAGATGGACTTGTCATATTTTCTTGAAGTGTTTTTGAAACTGTTCTTCTGGTACCCTGTCTTTTCTGAAAACTGGAAGATTGACTTAGGACTTGATTAGGTTCAGACTAAACAATACTTCATAGACGATGCTGCTTGTGCTGTTTCTAAAGGACCTTGGTATTGGTCTGAGTGAACTAGGAGTAG